CGGTTTGCCCGCGCCCCTTCGCTTGCCTTGCGGAGACACACACACACACACACAACAAATAAAAGAAATGTCGACGGCAGCTGGAGAGGAGCACCGGAGGGCGACCCGCGCAGTGCAGAAACAGGGGCAAAAAGTAAACGGGGGACAGACGGCAACAAAAGGAGGAAGCCCGCTCGCTCTTTTTCTCTCGCAGCCTGTACGGTCTGTGGCCAACGGTGCACACAACGCGGCTCGTAGGGGCGCTCACCGTGGCAAAGTGCCGCCGCGCGAAAATGAGCCACCGCCGTTTTGTTTTCTCGTCCTCCCGCATTCCGTGCGTGCGTGTTTGTGTGGCCACCGGCTCCGTCACATCCCGGTGCTGAACGTGTATGCACGTGTGCGTTCCTGCCTGTCCCGCGGCGGGGGACCGAGGGACCGGCGGAGCCCCCTCCAATTTCTCCCGCCACGGGGGAGCAGCGAGGCAAGTCATGACGCAGAAGCAAAAAAAAAAAAGATCAAGACACGTGGCGTGGAGACGGGTGAGGCGACAAAGAAGGCAAAAAACAAAAACAAGCAAATCCCATTTCGATGACCACGCAGCCACGGCCGGGCGGGCGGGCGCGTGGGAGCCTCGAGGCTCCCCGAGGCCGCCGACGTCACATTCACATGACGGCGCAACAGTTCTGCCGGCTCCTCGCCTTCTGCTGCCCCAAGGGGCGGCGGCCCTTCTTCAGCGGCGTCGGCTGCGCGCTGCCCCTTTTCTGCGCCACCGACGCCCTCTCGCTCAGCGCAGTCGTGTCCAGCGGATCCCTTGTGCAGGTGCCAACAACACCGCTCCCCGCTAACGCGCGTTGGGCCAGGGCGTCCTCGCGGAGCCTCTGCAGGAGCGCCACCTCATCCTGCCGCTCCCTCGCCACGTCAATCATGCCCATCACAAGCGCCGCGGAGGCCCGCTTCGCCTCCGCGGCCAGTGCTCCGGCCACACCCAGCCTGCTCGGCGCTCCTCTCGCCGCCTCCGCAGCCGCTTCCGCCCACTGCTGCAGCTTCTGCTGCGCCGCGACGGCGGCGGCGGAGGCCTCCTTGCGGGCCTGCAGCGCCCGCTCCCACTTCCGCGTCGGGCTGCTTTCGTCGTCGCCAAGGCTGGCGTCGCGTGGCATCGCCTCCGCCTCGCGCGTGGCCTTGTCGGCGGCGTCGCGCTTGTCCGCGTACTCGCGGGTGGCCTCTTCCGCCAACGCGCGCATGTGGTCGGTGTCCGCCAGCTGCATTTCACGGGATGCAAAGGGGCAAGCGACGGCGGCGGTGGTTGTCCCGCTGCACCTCCCCCACAGGGCCAGTAAATCACAAAAAGAAAAAACACACACCCGCCGCCCGTGCAAGAGGAAAAAAAAAAGCGAAGAGAGAAGCGGGAGACAAATGCAGCAGGCGCGGGAATCGCCCTGCTGCCGCTTCGGTTGCCAATGCGCAGGTGCTGGTGGGGGGGGGGAAGTGCCGCGACGGCAATCGAACTCGACGGTCTTCTCAGGCCACAGGCGCCCACCCCACAAGCTGCGGAGGAGGAAGCCAAGATGTCAAGATGAAAAGTAAAATACACGTCGGAGCGACACACGCAGCCCCTGCCGGACGAAAAGAAAGCGAGAGAGGGCGACCTCGCGTCGTTGGGCAGAAGAGAAAAGAAAAAGCTGCCAAGTTGCCTCACACAAGCATGTAGACAGAAGGAGTTCTGGCAAAAACTGTGGCCGCGGCAGGACCCCCTTCTTTCCCTTCCAACGTTTTCCCCACCAACTACTCTCGTTTTTCTTCCCCCACTCCACTCACAAACAAACAAGTATATACACACACATCACATACACGCCTGAATAATGACACCCGCTATGTCGTGCACCGCCGCCCGCGCCTGCTTCCACGCGGCCCGCTCTCCCATTCCTTTGCCTCCCTCGCCTACGTTCGTTTTCCGTTCCGCAGGGGTGGCGGCCGCCGCGCCCCGCCCATCGTGTGAACACGCCTCAGTAGCCGCAGTAGAACTGACGGTTTTTGCCACCCACGCCGTCGTCCGAGGACGGCGGCTCTGGGCTGTCCCGCCACGCCCTGCTGCCGCACTCGTTGCCCTCCCCTTCCGCCGCGGCGTCGTCGCGCTCCACGTAGAAACCGTTGCCGGCGATATAGCCATCGTCGCCACGGTACGCGTTCCCCTCGGCAAAGAGGAGGAGGGACACGAGCAGCCGATGGCGCTTGTTGTAGAGGAAGTAGTGCTGCGAAAACAGGGACCGGGACACCATGGGATCGCAGCTGGGGCACGCAAAGCGGAAGTACTCGCACCCCTGGGCTGCGTCCATCACCTGCTCGCCCACGAGCGTCCAAAACTGCCGCACCGCCGGGAGGCAGGAGTCGGGCATGGAGTGCAGCGTCACGTCCACCTCGGCCCGCACCTGCGCCTCGTCACAGACCACAAAGTCCTCCTCCGTGAGGACCGAGAAGTCGTAGCCCTCGTCACCGTAGATGCTGTTCAGGGCGGCCACGAGGTAGACGAGCCGCTCGTCAATAGCCTCCGGGTCAACGGGCTCAAAGACGACGGGCAGGGCGCCGCCCAGCTCAAGCGGCGGGGGCGACACGCCGCAGTTCGGGGCGGGGGCGAGTGGCGGGGTGTTCGCGTTCGCGTACTGCGCCATGGAGGCCGCGAGTTGCTTCTTCTTGCGGGTTTTGCGGCACGTGAACGCCTCCACCCGCACCGTCATGAGGCACCCCTGCGCCTCGACGCCTTGGAGCAGGGAGTTCAGAAACTCGAAGCTCTCAAGAGGGACAAAATCCATCCGCGCCTCCGGAACCAGGCGACGCAAGGAAGTAAACACACCCACCGGCGCCTCCCCACGCAAACACGGGGGACGACAAGGACTTTGGCACTTGGAGAATACACAAGCAGGGGCCAAAAGAGCGCGCCCTGCCACGACGTAGATGCGGTTACTGGCTTACAGAAATTTTTTCCCCCTCACCTTCCCCACTTCAGGGAGACTTAATCTATAACTCTTCCGTTTTCCTTGTCGTTTCCTTCTAGCGGTATTCCGACACACAAACACAGAAACACACAGAGTAAGAGAGAGGGAGAGACAGACACCTTCGCTTCGTCTCTCACTGTGAGTGGCTGTCGGTCCGCACTTCTATGTATTTGTCTATGAGTGTACTTGCTGTACGGTGCCCCAGTGGGTTGGGCGAGCATTGGTAGAGGGTCAAGGAGGAAGAGGCCAGCGACGGTGCAAGCCACAGCAAGCAAGCACAGCATGGCAAGGGGGAGCTGGGCATGAAAAAACAACCCGGCAAGGCATTACCACTACCACCGGAAGAGCAACAAGGAAAGACGCGAAAGGTACATCGATTTTTTTTGTGTGTTTTTTTTTTACTGCCCACATGTATAAGAAATTTCTATGGTCGCGGTGGTGCCGCACGGATGCCGCCATTCCGCAGGACTACAGTCGTCAACGTTATTTCCGCCAGTTGGTTCCTTTTTTTTTTTGGTGTGTGTGCGTGTGTTTCTCCGCACCTGCATTTTCGTTTTTTTTTTTGTTTTCGGAGGCACCACCTGCCCGTTGGCGCCGCCGCTCATCGTGCGTGGCTCCTCCTCCTCTTCGCCACGGACTTCTTGGGGGGCTGCGACTTTGCTCTATGCGCTCTATTCGGCTTAGGCCGCTGCCGCCGGGGCGCCTGCGGGCGTCGCACAGCAGAGGCACGTGCGAGGGCGGACTTCGTCGCCTTCGCCGCCCTGTTGCGCGCGGGCGCCCGCTGCGCAAGGCGTGGGCTGCGCCGCTCTTCTGCCCGCCCCGCACTCTTCGGCGCGGGAGCCTCCGCCGCAGCCGCCGCGTGCGTCGTCTTCGCCGGCGACGGGGACTTCTTTCGCGTCGCCGGCGCGGTGCCCCGCGGGGGAGCCCGGCTGGCGCTTTGCGGCTGCAGTGCCTTCTCTTTGCGTGCCGTCTCCGCCGTCCACTCCCGCAGCTGCTCGCAGAAGCTCTCAAAGTAGGAGCAGCCGTTGGACAGCTTCTTCTTCAGCTCCCTCCGCAGGTGCTCGTTGCGCCGCGCGGCGACCTCGTACGGCTTCCGCTGCTCAAGCGCCAGACCCCGCCAGTTCCGTCGGCAGGCATCCAAAAAGACGGCGTCCTGCTCGCAGTTCCCCGCGTCGGGCCCGTGCTGTTTTGTGTACAACTCCTTCGCGTAGACCTCCAGCGCCCGGTTGGGCAGCTGCGGGGCGGGGATGGACTCGAGCATCAGCCAGGGCCGCTCCATGCACTCGAAGAGCTCACGGATGCGACGGGCCTGGCCGCTCTCTACCGACTCCCGCTGCTTCGCCACCGTCGTGATGCGGCGCTTCAGGGCCGCGATCTCCGAGTCGATGTGGTGCAGCAGAAACCGGTACGCGTCTTCCGAGGCGTCTCCGTGCGGCTGCTCCCTTGACGACGGCAAGACCGCCGCCGCTGCCGCTGGCGACGATGATGCCGCGGCTGCGGCTGCGGCCGGGGCCACCGGCGCGTCTACGGCGGCGCCAGCATCGTGCGTCATCCCCGCGGTGCCGCTGCGGCGGGGGTAAGCGGCGCCCTTCCTCGTGCCCGGGCTGGCGTGGAGGGGGTGCGCCTTCGCCATCACGGCCCGCTTCAGCGTAGAGGGCCCCTCCTGCTCCAGGAGGCATCGCAGTGTGCGACGCAGCATGCGTGCGCCGGAAGCTACGGAAGAGAAGAGCGGTTGGCCAGAATCCTGCACGCACCACGCACGCCAGCATGCAGCAGCTGCGGCAGGAGATGGGAGATGCCTGTGGACTGCACCGCAGCACCCCTCGCAGCAGGGCTTGCCGCACAAAAAAAAAAGGCACGGCAGCAGGAAAACGAAAGAGCCCGAAAAAAGAGAGCAGACACGTGTGTCTTGCAGGCAGCAGACGGCGGCAATGACTTGTATTCGTCGCACCCACCGAACCCCCACCCACCCCCCACACACACACGCACATATGTCTCATTTCAGCCTTCCAACAAACACGACAAATAGTAGTCAAAGTGAAAACAAACAAATAGAAAGAGAGCAACAACACACAACAGCAGAGGCATCGTGTCACGTGCTACACCAACGCTAATGCCCTGCGCTTTGAGCCCTGTGTGTGCCGCGCCGAACCCTCTCACCGGAGGGCGCTGTACCCCTTAACGTCCGAAGCCGCCAACGCCCGCTCGGCCTCCTCGCTCCCGGGCCGATAGACGTGCTCGATGTCCACCTCGCCCCGCACCAGCTGCGTCTCGCGTGTGAGGTGGGCGAGCCGCTTCTCAATCCGCATGACGCGGTGGGCCAGATAGAGGGCGACGGCAAACATGCACAGGGCGACCAGCCATCCACCGGCCCCAAAGAGGGCCACCGCGCTCATGAGGCACATGAAGTCCAGGCGAAACCACATGAGCAGAACCCACTGTTGCCTAGTGACCTCCGTGTAGCGCGCCACGTGCGTCGTGCGGGCCGCAAAGAGGAAGACGGCTGCCAACCCAGGAATCACGAAAATGTACTGCAGCCACGCCGGCAGTTCGAAGCGGCACCAGCCAAGGGCCGTGGGAAACACAAACTGCAGGAATGTAATAGCGGGGGCCGCCAGGCCGCACACCACGACAGCGCTGTAGAGAACATTCCCGCGGCTGTACGAAGGCGGCGGCGGCGATGACGCGAAGTCCTCCCCCGGGACGGCGTCCGCCATGGCTCCCACCGCATTGCCCGTGAGACGCTGGTGCTGGTAGTCGTAGATCTCCACGACGGTGTGCCGCAGCGAGTCAACGACGGCGACGGGGTCCAAGTCGGGCGCGTCCTCCGGCGCACACTCCTCCAGCTCCGGGTGGTCCTGCTTCAGCGCGTTGAGGACCCTCGCCAGGACAAAGTCGAAGGTGAAAAAGAAGATGAGCTCCACGGTCGCCAAAAACAGCGTGAATGACTCCGCCATGATACTTGCGCTCCCCTAAGAGACGCTTCTCCTGCTCTAAGTAGCCGTTTCCCTCTCGCTCCCTGTCCCTTTTTACCTGCCTGCCCCTTCGGGTTTATGTAGTTGTGGTTGCAACGCAGTTCGGGTGGCGTGTCTGCGGTGTCCCGTTGCCACGCCCTTGTAGCGCGCTTTGCTAAGCCTGTGGGCCGCAGGCACAACACATACGCGGGGAAGCCGAGAGGGCGAGCGGCAAACAGAAGTCGCACGGCAGAGGAAATGAAAAATTAAAAAAAATAAAATAAAAACAACAACAAGGGCAATGACAAGTGCACGCGATCGCCAACAACACAGCCCACACCCCCGCCCACTCGCAAGCAGAGTTTACGGTATTCGTAGCGACCATCGTGGCAGAACGCCCTTGCGAGGGAGACAAGGTGAGGCGTCACAGCAACTCCACCTCGGCGCCATGCCCCTCAAACAGGGCCTTGAGCTTCTCCGCGTCGGCTCGCGCCATTGCCTTCACAAGGACGCCCGGACACCGTTCAACGGCCGCTTTTGCCTCCTGTAGCGGGAGCCCAGAGACGGCGCGCAGCTCCTTGATGAGCTTCACCTTGTTGGCCGCGGGGTACTTCCGGACGGTGAAGTCAAAGGCAGTTTTCTCCGCGGCTTTCCTCGCCGGCGCCCCTGCAGCAGCAGCCGCCGCCGCCGCCTCGCCCTGCGTGGGGCTGTTGGGCGTGGCGGGGGCCGCAAGACCGGCGCCGATGCTGCCGCTGGTTGCCGCCCCCATGCCCTGCAGCAAGGCCTCCTCGTACTCGAGTGGTGCCGCGGCAGGCGACGGCGCGGCGTCCTTCAGAGCGAACTCGTGGAACCTCCGCATCGTCGCCAGGTCCATGTTGACGTAGGCCTCTGCAATGGCCTCAACGGTCGCGGTGCTATCCCGCAGCGGGAAGGCCTGCATCCCCCGCGGCAGCGCGGTGCCAGCCACGCCGGCAACGGTGAACCAGCGGCGCAGCAGTCTGGCGCCCACGTCAATGCGCACCCGCCGCATGGAAGCTATTCCCCTTCTCTATCCATGAGGGAGGAAGAGAGGACACAGTGCGTGCCGGTAACATCGCGCGGGTCTGTGCGTGCGTGCGACCGTGACACAGCGGGCAACAGAGCCGCACTCGTGGGGTTGCGGCGCTTAAAGCATTTGGAGGAAAAAAAAAGACAAAAATCGAAAGCGACCCTGTCGCTTTCCAGAGACACTCTCACACTCAAACCGAAAAAGAATGAAGTCAAGGGGCTTCTTCTTCTGTTTTTGCTTTCTTTTTTGTTGTTTAACTCGCTCATGTTTTGCCGTCTGTGGAAATCGTTCCACCTCCCGCTATTTCACTCGTTTCCGCCACACAGGCTTCCGCTTACTTCCTGCCCCCCTTCAGCCGGCCCCTGTCGATGCGTGTGTGTGTGTGTTTGTGTGCGCGGGCTGACAGAGACTTTACGGCGCCGTTGCGGGGGCGGCGCTGGCCCTCGCCTCCGCCGCGGCCGGTTGAGGCGCCGGTGGCAGCGACCGCTCGCTGCGCGTCGCACGCCGCGAGGTGCGCTGCAGGTACGGGTCCTGGGCGAGCTGCGGCACGTCGTAGCGGTCGGTGGGGTGGTACTCGAGGCACTTCTGCATAAGATCCTTTGCCTCCTGCGAGACCCGCGGCGTGTCGGGGAAGCGCAGGGTGCGGGCGGAGGAGACGATGAGTTTGTCCTGCCAGATGCGCCGCTGCGACTCGCCCTCGGCGAAGGGGCGTCTGCCGAAGAGCATCTGGTAAAAAATGACGCCGCAGGACCACACGTCCACCTTGTTGCTGATGCGGGGCGTGGCCGCGGTGTCGAAGCACTCCGGCGGCAGGTACCAGTACGTCCCCGTGCCCTGCGAGGTGAGCTCGATCGTCGGGTTGTCGCACGGCCCGTCGCGGCTCTGAATCAGCTTGCTGAGGCCGAAGTCCGTGATCTTGATCTCCAGGCTGCTCGCGTTGCTCGAGTGAAACAAAATGTTCGCGGGCTTGAGGTCGTAGTGGATGATCGGCTGCTCCTGCGCCGCCAGGTAGCGCAGGGCGCTGACGACCTGCAGCAGGATCAGCCGCGCCTCCGTCTCCCGCATGCAGCCGTGCCGCTTGAGGTGCGTGTCGAGGTCGTTCCCCCGGCTGTACTCCATGACGGAGACGAACATCGCCTCGCCGTGCTCAAACTCGTCGTAGAGGCGCGTGAGGTGCGGGTGCTGCAGGGTGCGCATGATGGCCAGCTCGCGGTCGGCGTGCCGGCGGTAGTGCAGGCGCGTCTGCGCCGACCACTCGCGCTGCATGCGGTGAATCTTGCACGCCACGTAGCGCGCCTCCTGCAGGTCAAACGCCTTCCACACCTCCGAGAAGCCGCCTTTGCCGAGGAGGTGCATCAGCACGTACCGCTGCCCCTGCCCAAGGGCCGGGACGGCCATGAACTCCGAGGCATCCTCGTCGCTCACGCGGCGTATCTCCTTCAGGAAGGCCTTCTTCTCGTGGTCCAGCTCCTGCCGCCGCTGCCGCAGCGCCTGTATGCTGCCGCCCAGTGCGGCAAACTCCGAGACGTACAGCTGCAGCGCCTCCTGCGACTCCACCAGCGCGTTCTGCGTCTCCGGCGTCATGGAGTCCTCGTCGCTGCTGCGCAGCAGCTGCCGGACGCGCTTCTCCGCCGCCTTCTTCAGCTCCTCCACCTCGTCGCGGCGGGACGACAGCTCCTCCAGCTGCATGATGAGCTCCCTCGGGGTGTTGCCCTCCACCCACACCTCGCGGCCGCCGCTGTGCCACATCGCAATCTGGCCAAGCTCAAAGTGCCTCTGGTGCAGCGCCCGCCGGGCGTCGCTCTTCGCCTGGCGCGCCGTGCGCAGCATCTCCTCCCGCAGCACGCGCTGGTAGTGCTCCGCGCGGTCCGTCACCTGCCGCAGCTGCGCCTCGGCGGATGCAAGCGCCCCCTCCGCCGCCGCCGCCTTCGCCTCCGCCGCCGACAGCCGCTCCCGCAACTCGTCGATCTGCGCGTCGCGGTCCGCGATCTCCTTCTTGAAGAGCGAGACGTCAGCGACGAGCCCAAAGGAGGCGAGCGTCACCTGCCGCAGCTTCCGCTCGTGCGGCGGCCCAGCCGCACCGCCACCGCAGGAGGTGCTCGGCGCGGGCACACAAACGCAGTCGCTGTCGCCGTCGCCGACGCCACCGTCGGCGGGTTTCTCCACGGAGGCGGCGGCGCCACCCTTCAGCGGGGAGTGGCACGCGACGCCCTTCTTCTCCTGCGGCGACTGCGTCGTCGGCGGCGGCGGCAGCTCAGCGTCCGCCACGTCCGTGCCCACGTCTCCCTCACGCGACCGCTTTCGCTGCTGCCGCGGCTCGCTGTTGCGCATGGCGCCTTCTAAGATATTGAGACACGAGGAGGAGAAGGACGCATGTGAGGCTGCGCACGCAGCTCAATTCGTAAATATATCGCTTGCACACGTCGATTGGGCGCCTACCTCGTGGCCTCCGCGTGGCAGGCGCACGCACTCACGCACGCTTCCCCACGCGAAGCAGGTGGATATGGGCCTAATGTGAACGCAGCTGCCGGAGGCACCTTTTGCTGCCACGCCGCCCGTCGGGTGTGCACACAATACAGAACGCATATAATATATATATATATATATGTATATATAAGCTTAATACACGCGCTTTTCAGCGCAGCACCCGCTCAACCAGCCACCGATGCCCCTCAAGGTACAGCACTAGGATGAAGGGGTCGACCAACTCCGGGATGTTGCTCTGCAGGCACACAACACAGTGCTGCAGCACCAGCCGCTGCTCCACGGGGGAGTAAAACGCCGCCTGCCCGCTGCAGGAGCACAGCACCCAGTCCGTCGACTCCCGCACCGCTGTCTCCTCCAGGCAGGCCATCTGCTCCACGAACTCCAGCGTGACCTTGAAGACGCAGTCGCCGTTGAAGTTCACCTGGTCCATGGAGCGGCCCCGCACGACGCGGGGGTCCTCGAGGAAGCCGAGGGAGTCGACGGGCACCGTCGTCCGCTCCCCCTCCTTGCTGATGTGAATGAGCATGTTGAGGTGCCCCTGCTTGACGAAGGCGAGGTCCGGCGTCGCCTCCAGCGCGGCCGCCCCCCGCCGCCTCCCCATAGCGCCGCTGCGGAACCTCTACGCCGTGCAACGGGCTCGCCGCGGCACACGCACGTTGAGAAACAGAATGGGGAGGCAGGGGAGTGAGGGGAAAGGGAAGAAAGAAAGAAGGCGTGACCACGTGGCACAGCCGGAGAAGGAAAAGAGACACAAAGGCGGAATGAAACAGACACACACACACACAAATAAATAAATACAACCCCGACGAGGCCACGGGGAAGGGCAAAGCCGCAGAGAAGGGGGCAGCGGCCGCGCCTACCACAGTTCGACGGCCTCCGGCCGCAGCAGCTCCCCGTCCTCGTCGTACACCTCCTCCCCCTCTTCTGCCTCTTCCGCCGCCGCCCGCCTCACGTCCTCGTCGTCGTCGCTCGATATGGTGGGGCCGCCGCGACTGGCATGCACAGGCACGGCCCCGCGAACAATGGGGTCGCCGGAAAACAGCGTTGCCTCCTTGCGCAGCTGCGGGGCGGCGAAGATGCACTTCCCAAACTGTTCGGCCACGACAGAAAAACCGTCGACGTCGTTGGCGGCGCGCAGGCGCTCAAAAAACACATTGGGGTCACTGTGCTGCTCCTCCACCGCGCGCTGCTCCGCCGCAAGCTGGCGATGCGCCGGGGCGCAGACGTTGCACTCGGTCACGTCGTTGAGGCAGCGCTGGTGGAAGGAGTGCTGGCACATGAAGTGCACCACCGGCAGGTCCAGCGCGGCGTGGCAGTGGAAGCACCTTTGCGCCTGGAAGACGGTCGCCTTCGTTTGCAGCGCGTCGATTTCGCCGTGCAACTCGTGCAGCCTCTTCAGCCGCGCGTCAATGAGACCGTGCAGCTCCTCCGCCCGCTGGGCATCCCGCCGCATCATCCGCAGCACGTACTCGCGGACGCTCCCAAGCTGCAGCCTCGGGTTGGTGCCGAGAACCTCCACCACGGCGAGTGGGGAGAGGAGGTTGTGCGCCTCGATGCAGTCCAGCACCTGCGCCAGGTCCTGCCACTCCGTGTCCGGGCTGCGGACGAGCAGCGAGAGGAGCGACAGCCACACCTCCTTCGTGGATCCATCGGACCTCCTCCCGCCACCGCCACCGCCACTGCTGCTGCTGTTATTGTTACTATTCCCACTCGCTTTGCCACGGTCACCGGCCCCACCGCCGCCGTCCTGCTGCAGCTGACTGCGGCATGCCTCAATGAGCTTCTCCCGCGCCGCCCGCCGTATCGCCGGCGTGGCGCCCTCCTCCAGCCTCTTCGCGTAGTACTGCATGATGTCCGAGGAGAGACGCAGACGCCGCAACAGCAGCAACACTCCCTCCTCAAAGTCGTGCTGCTCCGCCAGCGCCAGGGCATGGTAGTCGTCGTAACTGCCGGCGTACGCCTCCATGAACGTCAGCGCCTGCTCAAGCCGCCGCTCGTACGGTTCCACCGTGTACACCTCCGCCCCGTCCGGCGTCTCCCGCTGACGGATGCTCTGCCGCAGCTCCCGCGTCATGTACAGCTCAAGTAGGGTGTTGTACACCACCCGCTGCGACTCGCCCGCGCCGTCAACGACGCCGCTCTCCACCACCGCACGCAAAAAGTGAAACAGGCACACAGGGGAATCGACAAAGACGTGCATAAAGTCCCTCGCCTCACTGCGGTGCGACTGGCGTGGTTGCTGCTGCTGCGAGTAATACGGAGGCGGGGTTTGCTGTGGCAGCGGGTAGCTGTAGCTCTCTGCCGCGCCGCGGTGGGGGCGGGTGGGGTCCGCGAGGCGCCGCGCAGGCCCCTTCCACTGAATGCACAACTCCGCCAGCACCTCGGTGCAGGCGCGGGGCTCCATGCCGACCAAGTCCTTCCCTACCTCGAGCAAGATGGCCTCGGCGTCGTCAACGCACAAGGTGCGAATAAACGCAAGCGCCTTCTCCGGGTTCCGCAGGTTCTCAAGCTGAATGATAACGTAGTCGCGGGGCTGGGCGTACTTCTCCGCAATATAAATCGCGGCATCGTAGTAGCCCGCCTGGCGGCACACCTCAATGGCGTTGTGGGCGTCAAAGCGAATGTCGTCGCGGTGAATAAACTCCGACAGCTGCGCCTCATCCCGGAGTTTGATGTAGCAGTTCAGCAGCAACGTCGTGTGGCTGCGGTTGGCGAGGTTGCCGTGGCGCTTGTGGTGCAGCTCCTCCAGGTACCGGGTGAGCTCTGCCGTGTGCTGCCCATTAACGAAGATGCGGATGACGTACGAGGGCTCAAGGAAGCCGATGGCCTCAATGTACTGGTCGATGGCCTCCGCGTACTTCCCCTTCGACACGAGGTAGTCGCCGTACTTCTTCTGGATGCTCATCTGCTGCGAGGCGTCCGCGGCGTGCAGCCGCCGCACAAGCCGCTTCGCCACGTCGTAGCACTCCTTCTGAAAGAGTTGCTCCAGCCGGGACTGCAAGCCCGTCTCCGTCAGCCGCAGGACGCGCAGCGCCACGAACTCCTCATGCCTCGCCTCCTGGCAAATGACGAGGATGTCGGCGGCATCGGCGACCAGCCACGCGGCATTGGTGCAGGCGCTCTCCTGCGTGCGGCTCAAACACCGCAGACGGTTCACCAGGTCGTAGCACTGCAGCGTGAACTTCTCCGGCCGCGTCTCGCTCTGCGTCAGCACGACGACGTAGCCGCGATGCGCAAGCAGCCGCCGCTTGCGCCCCTCCACCTCCGCAAAGTGGACGGCGCCAAAAAGTGTGGGGTCGAACGCCGGCGGCAAAGTCGACGTCCGCGCCGAGGGCGACAACACCTCCTCGCTGCCGAAGACGGCCACCTGGTCGCTTGTGGCGCTCGCGACGACCAACTGGCCGTCGTCGGTCAGGCTGCAGCACTCCGGCGCCGCCCCGAAGGGCGGGTCGCAGCGGTGCTCCGCGTAGTCCGCGGCGCCGGTCACCTGCCACACCGTCACGACGTCGGCGAAGACGGTGTACATCGCATGCGCCACCGCGGCGGGGGATGACCAGCTGCCGCTGACGCCGGCGACGCCCCCGATGCCGAGCCCAAAGAGGTGCGACTTGCCCTGCGCCCCGCGTGGAGTGAACTTCGCTCCCGGGAACCCGACGAAGGCGACGGCCCCGCGCGCCACCCCGCTGCGAAGGCGACGGATCTTCACGCTGGGGTCGCGCTCAAGGTCGCCGCGCAGCACCACAATCTCGTCGCTGACGAGCGCCACCGCGGCGTTCTGAAGGTCCTCCGAGACGTCAAAGTCCACCACAACCGTGCGGAACGCCGTGGCAGGGATGGCGTTCTCCGCCGCCCCCTCCCGCCCTCTAAACTTCAGCGCCTGCATCAGCTCCGCGTTGTAGTTGGTGCGGAGGACAACACTCTCAGACGGCGGGGGGTGCTTCGCGCCGAAGAGGCGGTGCTCCCTGCACCGCGGGGCAGACTCGGAGTCCGCGTCCAGGCTCCACACGCGCAGGATGCCGGTGTTGAGCGCGTCGTCGTCGCCGATGGTGACAAGCACGTTCCGTGAGCGCAGGTGCTTCATGTGCGTCACGGGCCCCTTGTACGCGGGGAACTCCAGCAGCGTCGCGGTGCCGCCGCGGTCCACGGCGTACACGAACCCCTCGCCGTCGCCCACGAAGAGGGCCTTGTGGCCGTAGCAGCAGCTCGTCATCTCCATGCGGCTCAGGGGCCCCTTCAGCACCTCCGATTCGAAGAACTTGAAACTGCGCCAGACGACCGCCATTGCCCGCAAGACATACAACTGCGCGATACACGCAAACACTCACTGGACACGGCCCCGCAGCGAGGGTGGGCATAATGCGCGCGCCCAAGCGGATACGTCGTTGAGAGTCGGGGATGAGGGAGGGAAAAGGCGAAAAAGAGTAGAGGGGCGAAGAGCGATGAACGCCGGGCAGCCGTCGGCGGCGGACTCCCCCAGCTGAGTGTGCAGGGGACACAACACCCGGAGAAGCAGCAACAGTGTAAGCATAACACCAGCAGCAACAGCCGCACAGACGAAGCTCAAAAGAGAGGAAGACAAAGTGGACGTCTTCACAGGGGTGTGGGTAGGAGGGGGGATGGGGATGGCGATGGAGCGCCCTCCGCAGTGTCTCACTCACACCGCGCCCACCCGATGCCGAATCGCACGCATGTCTGCCGTGTCCTTCTCCAGTAGCTCTACTAGGGCCTCCACACCTTCCTGAATGCGCTCCGCAAAACGTGTCCAGTTCTTTAGCAGCTGTGGGTCGGTGCGTCGCTGCAGCAGGCCGCCCTCGTTTGAGAGGGCGGGCTCACGCGCCTCCTCCCCCGGGCAGCTTCGGAGGAGTGATGCGACAGCTGCGGATTCGGCGTCCAAGAAGGGCTGCAGCTCCGACAGCGCCGTCTTGTACACCCCTGGCGCCGCAAGCTGCAGGTTGAGGGCCTTGACGATGCTCGCAATGCGGCCCTCCTCGCCAAGAGGCAGCCCAAGCTGCCGAAGCGTCTCCACCTTCTTCACGAGCGAGTACCATCGACGCTGCAGCATGACCTGCTCCAGCATCAGCTCCCGATGCTGGGCGGCATTCGCCTCGTCCAACTGTCTAAAGCGCTCTGCTTTCGAAACAAGCGCATCCACGTGCTTCCGCATGGCCACGATGGCCTCCTGCTGTTTCTCCGCCCGCGACTTCAGCTCCTGCATGAAGTGCACGGGCGTCGGGTACATCCGAAGCGGATCCGGGTTGCGCTCCTGCGCCCGCAGCAGCTCCTCCTCCCTGCAGCCGCCTCCTGCCTGAGCAGCGATAAATCGTTCCCGCTCCACCGCCATGGTCGATTGCCCGGGGGCACACATGTTGTAGAGAAAGGCACGAAAGCGGCAGTTGGGGTGTAGGGCGTTGTATGCGTTGTCCAGCTCCAGCAGGTAGCGCCCCAACGTGCTCTGGCCTCCAAATTCATGGAGGTTCTGTGCAGCCCCCAGCATGTTATTATTATTTACGCCCGCATATGTGCCGAATCCACCAGCACCCGCCAAACCAAATCCGCCAGCCGTCTGATTTGCGGCTGTTCCGTACCCGCCAGCCAGCGTGTTTGCAGCTGTTCCGAACCCGCCAGTCAGCGTGTTTGCGGCTGTTCCGTACCCGCCAGTCAGCGTGTTTGCGGCTGTTCCGTACCCGCCAGTCAGCGTGTTTGCGGCTGTTCCGTACCCGCCAGTCAGCGTGTTTGCGGCTGTTCCGTACCCGCCAGTCAGCGTGTTTGCGGCTGTTCCGAACCCGCCAGCCAGCGTGTTTGCGGCTGTTCGGAACGCGCCAGTCGCCGGGTTTGCGGCTGTTCCGAACCCGCCAGCCGCCGGGTTTGCGGCTGTTCCGAACCCGCCAGCCGGCGCACCAAACATCTTTTGTTTTCCACTAGACTTGAGGCAGTTGATTGAAAGAGAAATGAGGGATGCACACGGGAGGCTTTGGGTGAGCCGGGCGTGATGCCCCCAAACAGCTGTGGGGCTGGCCAAACGCTGTTGCCACGGGTTGCACTGGCGCTGCCCACCGCAGACAACAGACGAAAACAAAAAACAAAAAAACATACACACGCAACGCGCACACCACGCAGAGTTCTTCCTTTTTTCTTTTTGTTTTTACATCCGGCCCGGC